GGGGCAGCAACTGTTTGATGAGCTTAAACTCTTTGGTAGGCCATTGATACCTCTCTGTAGGGACACAAATATTAAGGCTTGATCAGCAGACTATGGTAAGCCGATACAATCAGAGACAATCAGACATTTTGCAGCCTGAAGCTAATGGTCAGCCTGTGTCAACCTAGCCTTATTCTTTGTGATAAAGCTCCAGGGGAACAGTTCATTACTCTGCTGGGGTAAAGCAACAACAGTGCACAATCCATAAAACTGCAGCTGCAATCTTAGTCCTTTCCTGAAGAGTTAAGGTATACTGCAACATTGCTAGACTGGGGAGTTAAGGTATTTAGAAGCTGTCTGTCTTTCCAAGCAAGATTAGGCTGTGCAAGATTTAGCCTCCTTGTTCTGTGTGCAAAGAAAGGGCTAGAGATGGGGAAACGGTATCACAAATTGAGATAGTAGGGACAGCAGTGTAAGAGATCAATGGGCTTTGATTGTGTAAATGAACTTAAAGAAGGCTGATCGCTGAAGAAGTTATGCTTTTGAACTGTGGTGCTGGAGGAGGCTCTCGAGAGTCCCCTGGACTGCAAGGAGAACAAACCTATCCATTCTGAAGGAAATCAACCCTGAGTGCTCACTAGAAAGACAGATCCTGAAGCTGGGGATCCAGTACTTTGGCCATCTCATGAGAAGAGAAGACTCCTTGGAAAAGACCCTGATGTTGGGAAAGTGTGAAGGCAAGAGGAGAAGGGGCCGACAGAGGACAAGATGGTCGGACAGGGTCATTGAAGTGACCAACATGAATTTGACCCAACTCTGGGAGGCCATGGAAGACAGGAGGGCCTGGCGTGCTCTGGTCTGTGGGGTCACAAAGAGTCGGACACGACTTAATGACTAAACAACATCATTCAAGAGAGAGACCACTATCAATGGTCAATATTACTTTGTTGTGTGCCATTTGAAATGGATCTGTACGAGCAGCCTGACTAAATAAGTATTTTTATTTTTAAGTATTTACATTCTGGTATTCTCAAATAATTTGAGATAGGACTTACCCTACACCACCAGGTTTTGATGAAGGAAGGTCTTTTAGATGTCATGGGACTCACAACAGTCCTAGGCTGCAAAACCAAAGGTGAGGAAGGCTGAGAACTGCAGTCCAGCAACTTCCAACTTTGCCCTCCTCTACCATCTTGTGCATTTTCATCACTAGGAGGCTGTCTCAGGTGTGCCATTATTTTCTCTGCACTGATGAAATGACTTGCGTGTGTGAATGAGCTAGCAGAGACACCAAATGCTCTTCGTTCAGAATCATTTCATAGAGCCATGTAGTGTTGAGTAACTTGGGTGCTTCATTCATTCGTTGTGTAAACTTACAATATTCGTGAGAATGGCTGATGGTTGGATTCCAAAAGATCTCCTGTTTGGAGAATTAGTGCAGGGAAAGCACCTCAGAGGGAGACCACAGCTGTGATACAAGGAGATCTGCAAGCGGGATCTGAAGGCCTTAGGAATGGACCTCCACAGATGGGAAACCTTGACCTCTGAGCTTGGATGGAAAGATCTGAAAAAACTCTTAAAATGGTTAAAGACAGATGAGAAATAGAAGTAAAAAAATGACTTAAAAAGGGATGGAATCCTAAATTTAACTTCCCAGTGACTTGCATGGATAAAGAAAAGTATTTCAATAAGTACTACAACGAAATAAAAAAGAAAAGCAAAAAAGAGATTTGTTTCAAAAGATTAAAAATTGGTTGGAAAGATCTGAAAAAACTCTTAAAATGGTTAAAGACAGATGAGAAATAGAAGTAAAAAAATGACTTAAAAAGGGATGGAATCCTAAATTTAACTTCCCAGTGACTTACATGGATAAAGAAAAGTATTTCAATAAGTACTACAACGAAATAAAAAAGAAAAGCAAAAAAGAGATTTGTTTCAAAAGATTAAAAAAATCCAAGAAAATTTAAACATAGTTTAGGAATTTTGAAAGGTTAAGAGAGGAACAATTCATCTAATCAGGATAAATAAAAGAGAAGACTGAAAAAAAATACAGTGAAGAATAATACAGAAGAGAAACAAGTCTGGCCAATTTCTTTAAATAATCTTCTGAATGAAAATCCTGCAGTTTAAAAAAATTATATGAAAGGTGCTCACAAAGCAACTGCAAAAAAATAAGCAGGAATGGATGGGATACCAGCATATTTAATTATACTCTGCCTTTCTCCTCAAGAAGACCCAAAAGCAGCTTACAATGGTATAAACAAACAATTAAAAAAAGGGAAAGGGAAAAGAAACAAAAAACGAAAAGAAAAGCAGTCAAATTCTTAGTCAGCCAGTCACTCAGCAAAAGCTTGCTTGAAATGGAAATGTGGTTTTTCAAGTAGCTTGGATCCAAATTGTTTAGAGTTTTAAAAAGAAACAGCATTTTTAACTGTGCCCAGAAATGGACCAGCAGTCAATGGAGCAGTTGTAACAGGGGAGTTATGTGGTCCATGTAACTAGCACCACTTAACAATCTGGCTGTAACCTTCTGGATCTGCTGAACCTTCCAAACATTATCCAAAGTCAGACTCATGTAGCATGCATTACAGTAATCCAAATGGGACGTAACTGAGGCATATGTGACTGTGGCCAGATCAGATATCTCCAGAAAGGGCACACCTGGCACACTAGTTTTAACTGTGCAAATGCTCTCCTTGACACCACTATCTGAAGCTACAGAGACTGGATCTACCAAAATCCTAATAAGAGACTGCCAGCTAATTTTAATTAATTTTTAATAGCCCCAAAACTGCAAACATTCAGTACACATTCTTCCAAATAAGAATGCAGTGCAGTCTAATAACTACAATATAGGGCCATCACACATTCACTTCCCATGCAAAGTGATGCTTAAGATTTGAGAACAAATAATGTTTGTGGAGTATATTACAGGCAAAGGATAGCAATGATTTGAAACAACTCCTGATGAAGGCAAAGGAAGTGCAAAAGTAGGATTGTAGTTGAACATTAAAGCCAAAGGTCCATTGTGAAAAGCTGCATGTGTAAGATAATCACACAGTGGTTCTTCCCTTATAGTTCTGTGTACTGGTCTTTTCCACTTCTGTGTTTTCCATTTTTCAAAGTGACATTTAAAAAAAGTGTATACTTATTGATCTTTGCTTTATTGCTTGTTTAATGATGTAAGATGGCTCCTTATTAATTGTTAGTCGTTTTAAATATTGTCTTTTAATGATGTTAACCACTGTCGTATACTCATTGTTTTCAACTCTAACTATTGTTTTCAACTTTAACTATTTAAAGCACAGAGTGCTGTCCTCTGAAGATGCTGGCCACAGAGACTGGCGAAACGTTAGAAAGAACAACCTTGAAAACACTGCCAAAGAGCCCAAAAAACCCACAACAACCTTTAACTATTTCACTGTTGTAAGTGGCCTTGGGTCCCCTTATCAAGGAGAAAGACGGAAGGAATGAATGAATGAATGAATGAATGAATGAAACTTTGTGCTGCATGACCATGCATGCAACTGCATCTGGGGAAGCTTAAGGACCACTGTCGTCAGCCTACTTACACTATGTGGCACAGTGACTTTGCCCTGAGAAGAGAAAAATAAGTGCTATGGTAGAATTATGTAACTTTAATGCTGAGAATGAAGACATCAAAATGATTTTCTTTATCTTGGTTTAATCACACACCCCAAATGAAGGTTGCAGCCAACAAATTAAAAGAAGAATGAGATTCTGAAGGGAATCTATGAAGGAACGACAGAAGATCCTCAGGTATAAGAATGTGTCGCTGGAGACCAAGACTCTGCAATGGTGTTTCCATTTACTACGTATGCACTGATGTGAAAGCTAGACAGTGAAGAAAGCTGATGGGGAAAAAAAGATCCATCTTAAATATGGTGTTGAAGGAGAGCTTTACAGATACTATGGGCCATCAGAACTAAGCAGGTTCCAGGACAAATGGAGCCTGAGTCTCTAGGAGCAAAATGGACTAAACTTGATTCTATCATATTTTAGGCATAGTGTGTATGGAGGATATCACAGGCAAAGGATAACAATGATGTGAAACACTTGATGATGAAGGTAAGTAACGAAAGTGAATGAAGACAAGTGAAGCTTCAGCTCTCTCCAAGAGCAAAAGTGGTTGTCATATTTTTAGGCATATTGGCAATATTGCCTGGAAGAAAGCCGAAGGACAGGAGAATTGAAAGGCGGTAGGAAAAGAGGAAGGCTAAAGATGAGATGGATTGGTTCAATAAAGGAAGCCACAAAGCTTTTTGAGTTTGCATGGCCTGAGCTGGACTGTTTGTGGATGTCATTTTATGCTTGATAGTTAGCTCAGTGATTTAGTTCTCTGGCTGCGAAAGGAGGGATTGGGAGTTCGATTGCCTGTGCCTCGTCGAGAGGCAATGGATTCAATCATCCATAGGGTCGTTTCTAGTCCTAAGGGTTGCAGTTCTAAGATGATGGTTACTCAAGACGCTTAGAGCCCATGACTATTTAGTATGTTTACTGGTGGTCCAGGATTTAATCCCCCCCTCCCTCATATGTTTGACGAAATGGACTCAGTCCACGAAAGCTCCTATTAAAATGCCATCGTGAGGTGCCACCCATATTTTGTTCTTTTTCCTTTTGTTTTGTGTCGTTATCTTTGGATTTGGTCTGACAGGATGACGAGGTTGCCAGACATGGGGCCAAGCTAGAGAGACCCATCCCGCGCCCCTTCTTCTTTCAGGGTGACCTTGGGCAGGGGACTCCCTGATCTAGCTGAGCGCTAGCCGACCTGACAGGATTAGAAAGATAAAATAAAGATAAAATAAAGCCAATGAATCCATGAACGAAGCTCGTCGGGGTGGGGTGGGGGAGGGCTCGTCTGAGGGAAA